ATGATTTTTGTTTTACTGAGATTCTTAATAATGTAATGTAATGTATGTAAGGGGTAGGCCATAAAAACGAGCCCCCACACTGCAACCTTCAATGATCCATCCTGCTTCCCCTTGGATTAGCCCTTATGGGGGAAGATTCTTAATAAATACCAGATTTATTTTTTTCTGGCATGGCACCAACAGAATTTTTAACTAATACTTGAAATTCTGTCCAACTGCTAAATGAGGGTATAAAAGTCCATGCTTAGACATTTAAATCAAGAACCTTTCATGATAACAAATATATTAATAAAAATGCAATAACATGATTGATACTTCAAGTTTTCAAAATGGTGAAGGTTCATATTGTGCACGTAAACACATTGCCAGGCAAAGGGTCAATAAACACCTTGCATTATACACACAAAACAACAGAACAGTGGGGTTATGCAACTTGTTTCTAGGCAACGGCTTGGTAAACACACTTCTGTGTAGGCAGTGATGTCACACAACAGTGGATAGAGACCACATGATGTGTTTTCTGTAGCTCCATGCCAAAGGTTTGTGGGAGACAGCAAAGGTCCTTTGCGGGCAGTCGTAAGCTGGAGGTGTAAGTAACAAATGGACCTCACTTAAGTTCCAAGGGAACAGCAGTGTGGGCAGAAGATTCAGAAGACTTAGTGTGTGGCGTTACATGTGCTGTAGCACGGTGACATTGGGAGTGTGTGATTTAGTGAGACTTTTTATAGTTCCTGTGTTATAAATCCATGAAGACTAGTGCAGACAGACTGAAGAGAACAGAATGGAGTGATTGTAAATTGTGAAAATCAGGAACAGTGTTCAAATTATTTGTAGTTATGACCTGTAGCTGATTAATAAATCCAACTTGCAATCCAAACCCCGACTTTAGTCACTGATACAGGTGACAATATTGTGGTCTTCTGGTTATGGCATCATGTGGTCTGGTAGGTGAGTAGCAGCATAGATAGAGGCAATGGATTCTTCTGAAATGTTGATAACCATCTGACAGGCTACAGTATCATAACCCAGAAGACAACACATAATATGCAGCAATAAAGAGAAGGTGAGATAATTACCAAAACCTGCCCATGTGTACTTTGCATGCCGAAAGATCGGCATGATTTTCAGAGGACTTACCATAGTCACTGATACACTAAAGCTAAACGTGTTCCCAGATGATCAGCAGAAATGGTCAAGATTGACTGGTTATACTCATTGCTTCAGCTTCTCTTTGCTGTAGGACAGTAAAAAAAGAGAGAGAGAGAGAGATCAATGGTATAACTCTGTCTTGCTGTCCAAGGTAACAATTACTGACTCATTCATAGAATTACAATTTTGACTTTGTGCTGTTTGTGTTGATGCTGATGTAAGGCTGTACCAGTGGGAACATTCCCTGACTGCTCTTGAAGTCTGTGATGTCTTCAATTTTTGTAGGCTGAAACAAACACAATGAATTTCATTAGCAAATTTCTTAATGAAGCACAAATTTCCAAGATGATCCACTTACAGTTATAGTGTGTAGGACTTGAGGTTCTCACAGCAGCGGTTGTGAAGAGTTCTGTCTTCTGGGATATAAGCCATGTAGTCCATGGAAAGTGAACCAGACTTTCAGAGGAACATGTCACCTACAGCTTTAGGGTCAAAGAATAAGCTATGCATCACCCCTACAAGCATACTTCATTCAAAGTATAGGAGTGTCCAGGGGTTAAAATAGGGGAGTATGCATAAAAAATCACTAAAGGTCACAGTTCAAGGGCCAGCAATTAGACCCACTCCTTTTGTGTGTGTGTGTGTGTGTGTGTGTCAGTGAGAGAGAGAGAAAGTACCCAGCATGAAGCAGCAGTATGCAGAGCTTGCAACGGACTACACAGCATTATAATTCAGAAGACAGACCCCTTACAATTACGCTGTTCCTCTCCTAAATCTACTCCTTCACCCGTCAACAAAATTCACGAAGTTTTTGGCTCTGAACAGCGTGCATGGAATGTACTCTGTATGGATAAGCCATATCTGCCGGTCCATGTGTTATATCTCTGAAACTACTGATGAATTTCCAAGTGGTGCATATGAACATACTGAAACAAACCTCTTGTCGTTGTGTTTTGGTAACAGCAGATAGAATGATAGGGCTGAACATCTAATTAGCTTGGCAACTTCTTATGTATGTCAATTATACTGATATTTCACTAAAACTGAAATAACAGCTCTCTTTATATTCAGGTCACATTGAGTTCCTTGGCACCACAGCTAGAAATGGACCTACTGTACCAACCCAAAGTGAGAGATGAGTAAGGAACACTGATGGAATAATAATTGCCAGAGTAAAAGGTAAAGATAAAGTTATTCCTGTCCTTAATTATTTAAGCACTAAACCATAAAGACATATAAGGAGTGGAGGTATAGTTCCACCGTTCTTGACCTCGGCAGTAACTGGAGGTGAGTGGTCAGCACCATGGCCCTGCCACTTTACCCTCGGGGAAAGAACCCCTAGTACCCACTGAATGGGAGGCTAGGTAGGTCCCAGAGTCAGTCTGAATGCTGTCAAGTAGAGAAAATTCTAGCACTGGCTGGAATCAAACAGGTGTTAAACCACTTCCTAGCTCAGCTGGTACAGTAACTAGGTTACAGGCTGCACACTTGAGAAATCATGCTTTGATTCTTGGCAGCTGCAAGAGACTTCTATTCGCAACAATGCTCACAGCAGCTTTTGGGGCTCTGCCAGCTTCCTACCCAATGTGTACTGGAGACTATTTCACCAGGGTTTAAGTGGCCAGGACATGAAACCCACTGGTCACCTCCATTTAGTGCTGAGCTTATGAATGTGTGGAACTATACCTCCACTCCATGATACATCTTGATGGTGTGGCAATTATTTATACACAGCAAAGTTACCTCTATTTATCAAACGATTTTTGGTGAGCTCATCTAACAGTCAGTTGATTTGATCAGAAGACACTTTAGCCTCAATTGGAGCTGATATTCTGCTGTTTGCAGAAACATAACGATAAATGCATCAGTGTACAAAAGTGTATAAGTATGAGCTTGTACTACTAACCTCTTTGCATGGTGGAGGAGGAACAAGTCCATCAATCACCTCATTCTCTGAAGCAACATGGACATTTCCTTCCAGTCCTGCACCTCCTTCAGCCATTGACACTACGTGGACAGCCAGTTTATGCCGACGCGGAGCACTATGATGGATCAGCTCCTACAAAATCAAATGCTTAATATTCCTAGCCTATTCATCCAAGACTTGCAATGCACCATCTTACAATGCTGAGATGATCAACTGTGGATACTTCAATGTCTTACAAATAATTAATTATCTTTAAATCCCCATTAACTTAAATACAAAGTTTCATGATGCATGTATTTTTTTAATTAAGTAAACTTTCAACTGTCCTTGTTTGTTATCTTTTATTAAAGAATAATTTTAATATTCAAAATGAGCTAAACATAAAGATGGTTTTCGATCAAAATATAAGTTTGAGTTGACAAAATACAATGTGCAAAGAATATGAAATTTTGAAACAGAATGGAATATGGATCACAGGCAATGCCTCAACTACTTCGCCACTTGGTATGAATAAGTAATAAAACAATGAATATTATCATGTCTTCTGGCCTGTAACTTATTAAACTAATTTGTAAATTCCATGCCATAGCAATTTAAAGTATGAACATTAGAGTCTGCTGGGATGTGACTGTGTAGTCTGGGAGACATTTCAGAGGCTGCCTGTATCGTCACAATACCCTGAGGGAGGAAGCAGTAGGTTCCTCCAAAGCACTTGTGGCTATCTAAGATGGGCATTATACAACCTTCACAGTCACTGCCATCAGAACTTCCAATCTAATACAATTCAAGGTATGTTTTCTGTGGCAGCAGAAAGTTAAATCTAGCAACACATTCCTGTCAATGCATATTTCAAATTCTTGAAACACAGAGAACAGTGTCATAAATTTCACCACATATTTCATAAAGGTCATACTCATCTGATGCTATCACTATCAATTCTCATGTCCGCACCAGAACCCAAAACCAAGAGTAACATTATTGTGATTTACACCAGAATTGGCAGCTGAGACGTGCACCAGTCACACATATTGTGGCCTGGATGAAAATAAAGCAGGGGACAGAAAGCAAGGAAACTTAAAACATACAGTGGTGCCAAATGCACCATCATGAAACACTGATTTTCAGTGAACGTGAATTGTTTTGTTAAACATGTGACTCAAGCATCAATTCTAACATTAGCCATCCCACGACTGAAATTTTTGAGAATTCAGCATAATTTGCATTACCAAAACCCACTTCCATCACTTTCTCAGTCTTCAACAGACACTTTCAAACAAATTCTGCTATTTAATAACTGTAATGATTCTGTACCCTGTAGAAGTCCAATATGTCCTCCTTTTGCAAACCACGAAGATGAGCCACTTCAATATTGGCCCTGTCAAAGTTATACTGTTGTGATGTTATCTCTAACCAGAATCGTGCAGAGAGAACAGACAATTTCTTGGGTTTCTCAAGACGGTGTGCTGCAAGGGCTTCTTTGTGCCTCTCAAATTCTTCAGAGGTCATGTCCACAATGTAGTCCTGACAACAGTAAATTTCTGTTAACATTATATGGCAAATAAAGTACAAGTCCAGTGCTCATACACCCATGAACTGCAAAGCATTGGCATTCTTTAAGGAAATTTTCTAAAACATTTCTTCCAAACAATACAAGGAAATTACAGACTACGGATATGCTAAGGTGGAAATATGTGCACTAAAGTATCCTTACAAATACAGAATTTTAAAAAATATTTCATTGTATCTTGAAATGATTAGAGTATGCAATATTTTGTCATACACATTCTGGGAGTTCCAAAATATTTGATTTGCTGAACATTTAATGATATAAGCATGTTGTGCACAGTCTCTCATGCATATGCAGATCTGAAGACATGAAGACAACCTCTCACATTTAACATTAATTTCAATGTAGGATCATGAAATTCTCAACAGTGGTTGAAGTTCAACAAGAAATGCTAGGAAGAACTCATGATGCTTACTTTCGTTCAAATATTTCAAAATGTACCAACATACATTCTATGTCAAATTTATCACACATAACCTCAAAGTTCTGCACTATAACCATATTTATAAGTGTTAAATAAAAGCTGTATTCGACCAAAATATATATTTTTATATATTTAGAGGTTAAGTCTGACAAATTTTACATAAAATACAAAATCTTATACTGCCAGAAATTTTGCAAAAAATTCACTAAGTTGAATATCTATTCATCTGCAAATTCTGTTGGTTTATCATAAAAAAAAGCAACACTTTAAACAATACAGAGTCTTCTTTAGCATTGCTATTCAGTCAACTCTGCAAGCTAATCCTAATGATATTCAATCTATAGCTCTGGAAGGTTACAACCTTTTTGAACACCAAATGTTAACACTGTTTCGTATGTCATCCATGACTGCCATATGTTTGGTTAAATACTCCCGTTCATCTCTGGTGAAAGCATTACACAGATGCAGCTGTGCAAATTTCTTTCACATGAAAATACTCCAAGTTACATCGGTGGCAGGGAAGGCCACTGTTGAATACTACTCTAAACACACAGCATGCTCTATTTTTAGCAATATAAATATGTTTAATTCAATTAACTTTAATGTTGCTCGGTTTATTTACTGTTACCACATTAACTGTTGCAGTTTGGTAGGATCAAATGAGAAATTCTAACTACCTTGAGAACTTACAATTTCATGTATGTTAAAGACTGCAGAAAGATTATGAGAACATCTACTGGCATTTGAAAATAGAACTAATCCTCAGGAAATGTTCTCTCCTTTAACTGTTAATTTACCTGAACACATCTAACATTATACATACAGTATGACTATTATTATATAAACAGATGAATTAAAAAATAAGTTGAAGGTGTGAGTGTAACATCAGAAACAGAATACAGTTGCAAGAATTTTGATCACTTTCAGACTTGAAGTGTATGACTATAACTACAACTATATATCACACATCTTAGATGTGGACTGCAATAGCTCCTGCAGCAGTTTTTCCATTTTATGATCTGTGTGCTGATCAAGCTGGGGCAATAATTTAAATATTAATCTCTTTTCTCATATCCTTCCCCACACAACAATGACATCCATATTGTAATGTCACTTGATGTGCTACATCTCATACAGCTGAACATTCAGGGAAACCACTTTATTATTATTATTATT